CAATTTGTACCACGGAACCTACCGAAACCAAACCAGTTTTTCCGACTTCCAATCACACAGTACCTGGTAAATACAAGTTAAGTGTGAACGGATGAGTTATGGAGCAAATAAGTGTTACGGCAGTTGCTTCATATATGCAAAGGTTATGTTGTCGTGAAGCAACTGGTAAAAGTAAATTACTTCCTTGGATATGGGATGTTAGGTGGTGCATGGGCTACCAATCTGTAAGCAGTGACACGTACGGCGTGTCAAATACCACAGTGTAGAAGGAAGAGGTGACCGAACCCAACGTATATTGTGCAGGCTACAAAAATAGGGAGCGAATCAACCAGTGCGAGAAAAGTGCAGCAAGGTACTCACCAAAATGATATTTTGTCAACGGATGTGCAGACAGTAAAAAAGTGGACGTTTCGAAGGTTAAAACAACCGTAAAATCTAAGGTTGCACGATACTGAAAGCGCATGTTTAGCGGTATACTACAAGGGCCTCCCCCCCAGAAGGCTGAAAGATGGAAGCCTTCGATGGAGCTGTTAGTGGGGCAAAACGGAAGGTGAGGATGGGTGCAAATAGTTGCATTGGCTTGAGTATGGGCTCCCAAGACGGGGTGTGTAGCGGATTTCGCTAGGTTCTTGCCTTTGTTAATGGTTATTTATGATGATCGTGTGGACCGGAGTGCATCATCGTTGGGCCGTCAGGGCGGGCTGGTCAGACCGCAAAAAACCTAGCTATTCCAGAAAGAAGAAAAACAAGACCTTCCCTTTGCTGCAGACCCGACGTTGCGCTAGAGTATCACACCCCCACTGCACTTTAGTCCACAGTCCTCGTCCCACGAGGAAATCCTCGTTCCTCGAAGAAATCCGGCGTCCTCGTCGGGAACGCCAAGGCGGCGTTTGGGGACCAATCATTTTGTAGGTGTCTGCGGCCGAGGGCGACTGCCTGTTACTTGGGTCTGCTGGCGGGTCACTCGAGGGTTGCTTAGGCCGTTCCGGCGGTTGAGTTTCTTGAAGGTAGAACTCAAAGGGGGCGGGCAAGGGTCAGGGAAGTCTCTTGATGCCGGAGAGGTAACATGGCATGCATGAAAAGCAAGTACGCTTTTTAAGTTTTCAAAATGTTTTGGGTTTTTTGTCGATTTTGCAGGACGTTTGTAAACAAGACTCATGCTAACCACCAATGGCGAAAATGGCGTGTCAATGGAAATAGCAAACGTTTACAAACTCTGAAAAACGGACCGGACGGTAGGCCTGTCTACCGGGTCGGTCGGTTGCTGAGGTTGAGGTAGGGTGAGGGTCAAGAGGAACAAAAGGTTTCGGGTTATCCATTGCTCGAGAAGTCACCGTAGGTGCAGGTGCTTGTGCGAAAGCATCAGGATGAGTTGCAAATGGCTCGTCAAAGAAAGCCATTTTGAAGCGGTCGATGGACACCGTTGGTTGGTGAACATTCTGATCTAAATTAAAATGTTTCGGAGCCCGTTGCAAAACGTTGAATGGACTAGTGTAGGGGGGCTGGAGAGGGCGCCGCGCTGCTTCGGTGCGGATGATGACCTGCGTGTAGGTAGAGAGTCTACTGTGCAGTTGCACATGGCTAGTCTGTTCACGGGGCGGGTCGGGCGCAGTGAACGCATGCGTTGAGCTAGGGGACGCAAAGTTAGGCGGAGGCATACCCGACGGTGCGGGAGAGGAAGCGAATGCTCCTGGCGATTTTAGCGTTGTGCCGTAAACCAGCTCTGCTGGGGCACATTGCAAGTAAGTTTTGATGCTGCCGCAAATGTCTAAGAGCACCAGCGAAAGGTTTTCGCTCCAGCTAGGTTCGGAGGAGGAGCACAGAGAGGCTTTAAGCTGTCTATGGAACCGTTCGACTAACCCGTTGGCAGCTTGGTGATACACTGTTATGTGGATGAATCGGCAACCTGAAAGGTTGCAGAACGTATCGAATTATGAAGATGCGAAGGGCGTTCCTCGGTCTGTTGTAATGGTGGATAGCATCCGTAGCGCGAACCCCAACGATCTAAGAAGGCCCGGACAACAGCCTCAGCTGTGCGGTCTCTTAGGGAAATGGCTTCTGGCCACCTGGTGAAGCGGTCGACACATGTAAGAATGTATACGAATCGCGTGACGGAGGCAAGCTACCTACTAAGTCTAGGTGCGCATGCGAGAACCGAGAGTGCGGGGAAGGAAATTAACCAAGAGGACTTCGGATGTGACGATGTAGTTTGGAGCGCTGGCATTGAAAGCAGGCGCGAGCCCTGGTACGAAAATCTTTGTTTACTCGTTTACAAACGAAATGTTCAGTGACCAGTTTCAAAATGCAATGATACCGGGATGTGATAGTGAGTGCAGTGCTTCAAAGGCTATGCGTCGGAAGGAGATGGGCACTAGGGGTCTAGGACAACCTGTGGACGTATCACAGAGAATGGTTCCTTCCGTGGTTTGGAGAGGAACATGTTGCATATGAAACGAAATGGACTGCAGAATGCTTTGTATGTCTTCGTCTTGAGTCCAAGCCGATGTCATAGTGGAGAGGTCAACGGTAGGCAACGACTAGAGAGTGATATTGTGGCGTGAGCGAGCCTCGCCGATGGGATCGCCGATTCCTAAGACATGAAGTACGTCAGCAGTGAACTGCTTGACAAAGTCTAGGTGTCTTGTTTCCCGTGGTGAATATTAGTCGCACGCAGAGTTGAAGGCAAATATGAGGGGCTTGTGGTCAGTGTGGACCGTGAAAGCGCTGCCTTCGAGTGTGTGCCGGAAGTGACGAATGGCTAGGTAAATGGTGAGCAGTTCTCTGTCAAGCGTGCTGTAGCGAGATTCCGCTGGCTGCAGGGACTTGGAGAAAAACCCAAGGGGTTGCCATGACCCACCAACGTGTTGTTGGAGGACGGCTCCTACCGCGACGCCTGAGGCATCAGTCGTAACAAATAAAAAATAAATAGTTTATTCTCGTCATTGCGAGGCACACCCTCAATGGCGTGCTCATAGCAATACAGACATGTATGATCGGTAATTGCACAAATTAGTACATTTTGGCAAATAGCATAGGAATTTATGCTTGTGTTGAAATGTAAAAGTATGTTTAACTGTGTATTTGGAAGGAGCCATGTTGTGTGAGTAGGTAAATGTGACTCAGTGTGTGTTTTTGTTCATTGTGCTCGTCAGCAAAGTGGGGAGTCAATGGAACTTTTTGAATCAGATGACGTCCGTGATGTGTGAATGCTCCTCAGGAAAAGGGAAGAGGCAGTGACTTTATTTAGTGGCGAGTCATATCCGCCACGTCACAGTATTGGTAAACGGATATCTGTGGTTTTTTATAGGGAGAGCGCTTGCCAGTCGAAATCCCACCACATCCTGGAACACTGCAGCCGAACAATTTGCTGGAACGGGATTTACCCGAACCACCCAGCTGGCACGACGAGGAGGTTGTTCGGCTAGTCAGCATTCTATTCGGAATGGGCGAGGAGGGCTATGTTGGAGATAGCATCCTTGAGCTCGGCGAAGGCTGCCTTGCTGCGCCATAGAAAGCGAAGTTACGTTCATTTCCTCTGAATAAGTTAGTCAGTGGCTGCATGAGCTGAGCACAGTGCGGAATGAAGCGTCGATAGTAGTTTACCAAACCACAAAATCGACGGAAGCGCTTAAACGAAGTCGGGGCTAGGAACTCCTTGATTGCCTGGATCTTATCAGGAAGGACTTCGATACCAGACGATGAAACGAGGTGGCCTAGGAATTCTACCTTTGACTTGCCGAGTTCGCGCCTAGTCGGGTTGACTGTGACACCGTTTTGGGTCAAGCGCTGGAAGAGATTACGAATATGCTCGAAGTGTTCTTGTTCCGATGAACTGGCTAATAAATATCATCAAGGTAAGAGTAAGCGAAGTCTAGGCCACGTGTGACATCATGGATGAAAGGTTTGTGCGACGTTGCATAGTCCAAATGGCATTCTTAAAAATTCAAAAAAGCTGAAAAAAGTGATAACAGCTGTTTTAGGGATGTCATTTTCCTCTACAAGTAGTTGGGGATAGGAGCGAACCAAATCGATTTTTCTGAAGGTCGTCTTACCTGTGAGGCATGCTTCCCACTGCCTTGTGGGTCAGGTTATTGAGCCATATGTTCCGGGC